AAATGCATCTTTCTTCTCAATTTCGTTAACCTTCCAAATGAAATTAGACAGTTCAACCGATTTACATTCACTGCATCATCCCAACGAATTTCTAATTTTTTCATTACCGACTCTCAAAAATAAACGGACAGATATTGAATAGCACTGTTGCAACGATTAAATATCACACTGCGCAATCGACAGGTTCTTTCTAGAACTTGAATGCTACAGCAAAAAAATCTGAGAAGAAAGAATCAGTCAACAAATGAATCAAACAATACTCTTTGTAAGATTCCATTCGGCCCAACTCAGACATGCTTTTTCGAGTGGATCACCCACTAGATCTTCGTCAAACCGCACCAAACTATGACATGCCACAAGAACTTGAATCGATTCCACTGGTGCGTCTGCAGGTGATCGAATTATCGTCAAATCGTCATCGTCTTCTGTATCGCCGTTCACCAATGTGATTCCTAAACATTTTCGACTTATGAGTGTTGAAGGCAACTCATCAATCGAAATCATCAAAAGTAAATATAAAAAATAACGAAAGTCAGCTCAAAACCAAGAAGAATTCAATCGTAATTCGATGAGCAATTATCAGATAATCGTAAAATAAACAGAGCACGTACCCTCAACGACCAGATTATCAGTTGTGAGCTGAAACGAGATGATAGGGGAGCATTAATCAACTTTGCCAGCGAACGGAATTCTGAATGGTTCCGTGCAAAACACGCCTGTAATGCATTCATCAAACTCGACACAGTCGATTCTATTCTCCTCACTCAAAATACGAACACAACAAAGAATAACCCAAAAGAAAAACCTCCCCAACAACCAATCGTCACACCATCTAAAAACTAACCCAATTTCTGCAACGCCATCAGCGAATTGTTGACCGCTAACGAGAGCTCGATAGGTAATTCGGGCGGAATAACACTCGTCAAGATCAACGAACATTCCAAGAAAAGTTTGTATTTACTACGTGACTCATCCTCACTCCCTGAAACCATTCATAATTCACAATCAATCACCAAGTGCGTTCAGTTAATGAAACTGCTATCAATTTAACTAAAACATTATAAAAGCATTACTACAAAATGAAATCAGAACGAACGACGAACAACTCAAAACTCTAAATTCAATTTAAAATTACACCTTTAATCCACAGATAAACCGATGCGGCGATTGCGAATATCAGCAAAAACAGAATGAATGCGAAAGTTTCACGATTGTTCGCCGTAACACGTTTTACACCAAACATTATCGTGCGCAGCAAACGACCCTGACTCGTGTTGAAACCGGTTCGAAGCACGTAACAAATGCATCCACCGTCCGGTGCTTTTATTCCAGCCTCATTCTTTGCTAAACAACGAATATTATCTTAGTAACCAGTGAAACTGATAGACAATTTGCTCAGTTATCTGAACAGCGAGCGAGATGGGAATGAGGCAGCAAAAACAACGACATAATCTCACTATCAATACAACCAGTTCACATATATTTGAAACAAGTGATACAACAAGTTTTGGTTGATCCTAACATCTTTACCATCAACTCATTCACTCTTAATCCAATTAAACTATTTACAAACTGAAATATATTCTGCAAAAATTACCGGGTGGAGTGTGCTGAACGATTTTCGTACCACCGAAAATCACATGTAAACGACTGTCGCATTCAAAATCAAAATACTGCGTCTTTTCGACATCCTCAATTGGTTCCTGCAATGGAAGACTTTCGCATGAAAAACACAATCGAAAGATCGTGCATCGTTTCAATGAACATCTTGCAAATGCCCAATTCACACCTTCATTTGCGGCACACTTTCGCCAGTCAACATCGACTCATCCACAATGCACGGTCCCCTCAACAGAAGAAGGTCACATGGAACCGCTTGCTCGTCTGGTGATCTGCCTTAACAAAAACAACTTCAACTCATACTAAATGTCATACGTTTGGAAATTTCAAACAAACAAAACTGGTGCAAATTGAACACATCGGAATATATCTTTTTTTAAAGAAATGCTCACACCTTATCCTAGTTAAATGTGCAACAATAAATCACTGAAAATCAAAATTATTCCACCCCACTGCCAAACTTTTCACATAACATTTTTGTTAGGTAAAACTGAATAATCTTTTCCTAAAATCAACGACCAATCCATGAAATTAGCAAAAACTCACCAACTGAAACAATATCGCCGGGCAATAGTTCATCACTTTTGATTCGATTCCATCGTTTATTACGATACGCATAGATCTGATAGGCTTTATTGCCCATATTTCGGATTTCGGACATATTTTTCAGTTGTTGCTTTACTAAGGTTGCTTCGAATGTCATCAACATCATCAACGTGAACACCGAGTAGTACCACATGTCTTCCAAACACCACAAACCAACGCAAAATACCTAAAAACTTTGGTTCAGCTACGCAAATTTATGCACATAATCGCCGAGCAACACCTCTGAGCTGATCTTCAAGAGGACGTATGATTTGCTGAACGTTAGTTGGTTATATGGGTAAAGCGATCTGCGATAGTTGATGACGACGAAGAAGCATTTAGTTGTTCTCGAAGAAGGGTAAGTGGTGATCGAAAGCTTGAGTAAATTAATATGATCCTTCACTGAATTACTCGGTGAGAACAGTTCCAAGAATCAACCTGGAAGACGAAGAAAGGGGCCGTCGCACGCTCTTTGAACAATTCCATAAACTGTGGTATAACCATTTCCATACTAAAATCGCAAATTCTCGTTACTTTTTCAAACCACCCAAAAAGAGTTTATCACAACAACAACAACTTCGAACACTCTAACGATAAGATAATTGAGTGTTCAGTGTGAATGATTGTGCATGCAAGCTGCAAAAGTGATAACTCACTGATTATCGCCCAAATCTTGCTTTGCCTCCACTATTGCTTCATCAGTTTCGAGTCCTTTTGACTCTTGAAAATATTTCATCGGCTTATTTGTGTCCAATTCGAACGATCTGAATTGCTTCTTATCCTCGTCGAACGTATAATGCACCTTTTGGAATTCGAACCATAATTTCAATCGACCATCAAATAACTGAAAGCAGACAGTGCCATTGATCACAACTGTGATTCAACAATCCACTCGGTTTCAATATCGAATCCTCAACTTGATACATGGCACTATATGAACCAAACCGTAAGATGACACAATCGGAAAGTTACGAGAAGTGAACAGCAATCATTATGAGCGTACTTTAATTAAAGCGATGCCAAAAGTTATCATTATGTAACAGATGGACTAGACCCGAAGCGAGAAAAGAAACCTTAGTTCGTTGTAATGGTACCATTTCAGTCCATCCGTTGTTGGGTGTTGGTGTAACTTTTACAGTTGTTGCCTTGTGTACATCGGGTTCCTTAAAGTAGCACGACGATATCACCGATATTAATATGAAACATTCTAACAATAAGTTTGAAACACAAAAGTATTCTTCTCATCAACAGTGACAGTCTCATGAAGAAAACATCATTTTCAGTAAATTTAAAGAAGCGATTTTTTAGATTCTCAAAATTCACAAGCAAATAATACGAAAATGATTAGCATCACTTACATGAGAACACGTAAAGAGACAATTCATCGACACAAACCAATGACAAAAAAGAACGGTTAACACCTGAAAAAAAATCTGTTAAACATTGAAAACTCAGAGGAAATAGCCAAACGTATTATATTTTGCATTAAGAGATATTAACCAAAATATTCTGGATGAAAGAATCAGTATAGACCAAGAAGACTGAGAGTGTGCTCTGAGATAAACGTTAAGTGCCTTGTTGATGAACACGCATGCTTTTTCGGAAAACCGCCACAATGTTAAAACATTTTCTGCATGATTTAAAGAATTCTTATATCTTCGAACACTGATTGTGAGAGTGATACAGCATTCGGAAGTCGATTATACGATGCATGTACCAAGATCAACCAATGAATTCCCCATGAATTATCACAAAACTGCATAAAAACTAACCTGCAATAAACCAATTCCAGCCATCACAATGCATCCCAATTCCCAGTATTCACTAATGCCATACAATCCACACCACACATATAACCAGCTGCCATATAATACGATAAATGGACCGACGTAAGCATGCGCAACGATTGGTTTCACCGTGTAAGGCGTTATCGATTGTACTAACTGATCAATTGCAAACATTTTCGTGATTATTACTCAAGTCGTTTGGATAAATATGAGTAATACTTGAGTAATGGGATACCTGCAATCAGGTAATCTTGCTGTTTAGGTCAACGAGAAATGGGTGTATGAATAACAAATAATCTAATAGTAAGCCTAC